TTATATATAGAATTAGTGTTTATGTATATTGTTTTTCTTTTGTTTTTGTGGTGAAATATGATCTGATTGTTCAGTTGTGCGTCTTTGATGGATGTTTATGTAGCTACGTTTGAGACTCTCAAATGTTAATTAATCCTAACTTAAAATAAGAAGTTATTTTCTATGACGCTGACGTTTTTCTGTTGATTTTCTGTTTTGTTCCATCAAATCACCCTAAATGTTAAGCACACGTGCAGAAAAAGTTTTCATCCCAATATAAAAATCACAGTCTGTCATTTGGACAGAGATTTGTTTGGTTCCTTTAAAAGCTCTCAATTATGTGCAGACTTTCAAGCGGTTGCAGTCTGGTGATTTAAAACCATTCGTCACATGTTAGTTTAGTTTGCTGATATGTGCGAAGCCTAATTTTTTTTTTTATTATTAATGTTTTTGCATTGTAATTTATCATAAATATATAAAAAATTTAATATCAAATATATAAAAAAAAAGTGAAATTATGAAAATAATGTAATTTTTGCACAAACTTTGAATCATCCAAATAATACTATTGAATTTTTTCTTTTGATTATGGGGTGTAAAATGTCCCGGACATGTTCTTGACCGGTTGAGATTCACTCGTGTGGTTTTGAGGTTTGTCGCACATCGTATGGCTTCAGATTGTATGTTTTCAGAACATATGTGTGCAAACATCAAAGGAGTTTATCTTCGGTCAGGTCTCATCTCAACACTGTGAAACGCTGGATTACAGTCTGGTTTGCACATAAATTGGTCCATTTTCATTGGGTCAGTTTGAATATTTAGTCACTGCGGAGTAAAAACCAAATATCTGGCGTTTGAACTACAGCAGACGACTGTAAAGTGTCCTTAATATTCAGCTTTTATGTGGAAAAGCTAGCAAGAACTTTTTACATATCAAAGTTCGTTTTAATTAGCATTGCTATGTAATGTGGGAGCTTGATTTGTAAATACATTTAGAGATAATAAATATATTAAAATTGGATTTCATTGGATTCATTGAATGTTGATGTGTATTGTAGCATTTAGGAATTTAGCAACACCCTGGCAACCACTCAGATTACCTTAGCAACACTCTAGCAATCACTTGGAACACTGTAACACAGCAACATCCTAGCAACACCCCAGCAACTATAAAACTATAGAAACCACATAGCAACACCTTGCCAACTACACAGATTATTTTAGCAATCACCTGGAGAACCGTAGCATCCACCTAACAACATCCTAGCAACACTCTAGCAACTATAACACCTTGGCAAACACCCTGGCAACCATCCAGATTACCTTAGCAACGCTCTAGCAATCACCTGGAACACTGCAACAGCACAGCAACGCTCCAGCAGCTATTAACAAGTTAGCAAACCCTTAGCAACTCCCAGGCTACCACTCAGATTACCATAGCAACATAAAGCAATAACCTGTAACACTGTAACAACATAGCAACATCCAAACAAGGCTCCAGCAACCATAACACCATAGCAACCACTTAGCAACACCATGACAACCACCCAGATTACCTTAGAAACACTCTTACAATCCCCTGGAACACTGTAACAGCACAGCAACATCGAAGCAACGCTCCAGCAACTATAACACCATAGCGACCACTTAGCAACACCATGGCAACCATCCAGATTGCCTTAGAAACGCTCTAGCAATCACCTGGAACATTGTAACAACAGTCAACAACTTACTAGCAACGCTCCAGCAACTATAACAACATAGCAACCACTTAGCAACACCATGGAAACCATCCAGATTGCCTTAGAAACACTCTAGCAATCACCTGGAACATTGTAACAACACAGCAACATCCTAGCAATGCTCCAGCAACTATAACAACATAGCGACCACTTAGCAACACCCTGGCAACCATCCAGATTGCCTTTGAAACATTACAGCAATTACCTGGAGCATTGTAACAACAGTCAACAACTTACTAGCAATGCTCCAGCAACTATAACAACATAGCGACCACTTAGCAACACCCTGGCAACCATCCAGATTGCCTTTGAAACATTACAGCAATTACCTGGAGCATTGTAACAACAGTCAACAACTTACTAGCAATGCTCCAGCAACTATAACAACATAGCGACCACTTAGCAACACCCTGGCAACCATCCAGATTGCCTTTGAAACATTACAGCAATTACCTGGAGCATTGTAACAACAGTCAACAACTTACTAGCAATGCTCCAGCAACTATAACAACATAGCGACCACTTAGCAACACCCTGGCAACCATCCAGATTTCCATAGAAACATTATAGCAGTCACCTGGAACACTGTAACAACACGGCAACATCCTAGCAACGCTCCAGCAACTATAACAACATAGCGACCACTTAGCAACACCCTGGCAACCATCCAGATTGCCTTAGAAACATTATAGCAATCACCTGGAACATTGTAACAACAGTCAACAACTTACTAGCAACGCTCCAGCAACTATAACAACATAGCGACCACTTAGCAACACCCTGGCAACCATCCAGATTGCCTTAGAAACATTATAGCAATCACCTGGAACATTGTAACAACAGTCAACAACTTACTAGCAACGCTCCAGCAACTATAACAACATAGCGACCACTTAGCAACACCTTGGCAACCATCCAGATTGCCTTAGAAACATTATAGCAATCACCTGGAACATTGTAACAACAGTCAACAACTTACTAGCAATGCTCCGGCAACTATAACAACATAGCGACCACTTAGCAACACCATGGCAACCATGCAGATTGCCTCAGAAACACTCTAGCAATCACCTGGAACATTGTAACAACAGTCAACAACTTACTAGCAACTATGACAACATAGCGGCCACTTAGCAACACCCTGGCAACCATCCAGATTGCCTTAGAAACATTACAGCAATTACCTGGAACATTGTAACCACAGTCAACAACTTACTAGCAATGCTCCAGCAACTATTAACAACATAGCAACCAACAGTGTTGGGAAGGTTACTTTGGAAATGTAATAGGTTACAGATTACAAGTTACCCTATTTAAAATGTAATCTGTATGTGGATGTGTGTAAAAATTCAAATGTAATCCCCTTTGTAATCGTTAACATTTTCATAAGTAACTGTAATTTAATTACACATTTTTTCTTAGTAACTGTAACTGATTACAGTTACATTTATTTTGTAATTAAATTACGTAACGCCGTTACATGTAACTAGTTACTCCCAAACACTGGCGACCAATTAGCAACACCCTGGCAAACATCCATATTGCCTTAGAAACATAGCAGTCACCTGGAACATTGTAACAACAGTCAACAACTTACTAGCAATGCTCCAGTAACTATAACAACATAGCGACCACTTAGCAACACCCTGGCAATCATTCAGATTGCCTTAGAAACATTATAGCAATCTCCGGAAACACTGTAACAACGCAGCAACGCTCCAGCAACTATAACACCATAGCGACCACTTAGCAACACCATGACAACCATCCAGATTATCTTAGAAACACTAACACATAGCAACATCCTAGTAACGCTCCAGCAACTGTAACACTAGTGAAACCACATAGCAACACCCTGGCAACCACCCAGAGCACTCCAGCAGCATGAAGATGGTGTATTTTGTATAAATGTGAGATTTTTGTCTTTGATGCTCTGATGAAAGTAAACACAGTTCTAAATCAAAGGTCAGATGTTTGTCTCGTGTTCATATCTGCAGACATAAACACTTTCTCCGTGTCAGACCTTTGTCTTGTGATGTTGTAAATGCCACCTGACAGTCCGTCACATGATGTTTTATTGCATGAGGGTGTTTTAACGCAGCAAATTTCACATTTTGTCACTTTGTGACTCTTCAGTTTCAAAGATAGAGGAACAGAATCTAATGCTCAGGTAAAGTTTGCTTTTGCAATGTAAAAACAGGATATCAGTGTTTAAAAAATGAATTTGAAATAATGTGGCATGAGATGTTTCCAATTTATTTTAATTTTATCAGAAACATTTTTACATTGACAGTTGTGTAGCATAATCCTTTACAAATGTTTTATAGACTTAGAAACATGGTTAATCAAATGTTTCTAATAATAATCTATATTTCTATTGAATATTTTATTTAGATTTGATCTTTTTCTAATACATTTTATATTTTTTAATATTTACAGTCTTAAATGTTATTAGTCTTTATTTGTCTTTTTTATACCAATGAATGTTAAAAACAGTTAATCAAATATTTCCGTGACATTGCAATAGGTTTTAATAATAAAAAATAAAAAAATAAAAAATGGTTTCAATTTTGCATTTTATTTATTTTTTATTTTATCTCATTTAAATATATTTTATATTTTAATGAATAATAGTCTTAATTTTTATTAGACTTTATTTGTCTGTTTTTATACCGATGAATATTATTTTTTATTTTATCTCATTTAAATATATTTTATATTTTAATGAATAATAGTCTTCATTTTTATTAGACTTTATTTGTCTGTTTTTATACCGATGAATATTACAAACATGGTTAGTCAAATATTTCAATGACATTGTAACAAGTTTAAAAAAAATCTAAATAAATATTTAATATGCATTTTAATTAGAATTTAGATTGTGTATATAGTTTTCATAT